TTTCATTCGCGCAGTTAATTAGGAATTGGACACATATGGTTCAATTCATTTAGCTAATTAGAACCTCTAAATGGTTACGGCGAGACACTATCGCTCCTCACTTTCTCTTCATCTGTCTTTCTATTTCCTTACATTTTCCCCCCTCAGACCTCTTTTTCCCCCCCTGCCCTCCTCCCTTCCATTGTATTGACGCCCTGGGACCCCATCTGGGCCCTTTGGAGGCGTGAAATGCACAGTAATTATTAGTAATCATCACACACCATCAGAAACGGATCCTAGTGCTGTAATTACATGATAAATGTCTGCCTAACACATGCCCTCTATTTAGCAGCCCCCTGGAGACCGTGGATAATAGACAGCTAACAGGGATCCGCAGAATGGGCCTTTCAGCGCTGGCCGAGGCTCATTGTCTACGCGCCAATACACCCTCGCCCCCCGTTTGGCAACAACGCAGACCCCGATCAATCCCCTGCACTGCCCCCCACCAGCAGCCTTCTCACCCCTCCCCATACACACACATATCTCTTGTCAATGCTAAGTAGACAGCAACGTCAATCATTGGCAGTACACTGCATTGCTAATGGCCTCCAAACAATTTCACAGGAGAGAAAAGAGTTTTGTTCAGCCATTCATCATGTAATGGTGACTTGGTTTAATGCTGCTGCCTCTGACCCCTGAGCAAAATGTGATAATTGGCATTATTATCATCAGCATGTCTTTTGTTGCTTTTTCCTTTATCGTTCTGATCAGAATGCAGTTTTTGATTGTGTTCTGCTGTCACCTACCCAAGTGGTTTTACACTGCAGACTGAACCCAATGAGGTATGACATGCTTTATCTTCATACCTTTTTGGATTGCAAAGGATTGTATAACTATTTTAAAAAATGTTATTATTACTACTATTATTTATTTTAATGTACACTCACAAGATTTACAAGTATATTTTACCAGTAGATTGATAATGACTGCTTTCAATGCATTAAATAACAAAGATAGTTGAACTTGATTATTTTTTTATGGGGACAGGTGTTCACACTTAAAATTTAAGTTACAAATGTATTTAACATGTGGAGCAATTTCTTTTTTAAATCAACATACAGCACATATCCTATATTCCAAGTTTAACAAGTTTAACGCCATTACTTTTAGCCGTTTAGCAAATGTAACATACGCCTAAGTTCAGCATGCAAAGTCACACAGGGTGTCCGCGGGGTCTTAAAAAGTATTAAAAGTTGATAAATCAATTTAGCATAAATGAAGGCTATTAAAAAGTATTAAACAGCATTTTCCAAGGTATTACATTTTGTAGCTTGTTTTCAATAAGTATATCAATTGTCCAAAGAGGTTGTATTCTACAGTCTGCCTAAATGTAATCATGGCGTAGGTGTGTAGTGTGATTCTGTGTAGTTTATTTATGGCATCCCGTTGGATTTGACATCATCTGAACAGGACATCTCACGCTCACTGCTTGATAGCGTGCGAAGGTCCGTTTACGCCGGTTGTTCAACAACATCGTTATGGGGAAATGCAAGTTTGCGTCCAAATGGTTGGAAGATAAGGAGGAAGGACAATCAATACTGTATATAGTCAATGTGAGGTAAAGTGTGTCGCCAATGTAACCGGTTAAAACTCCAAGTGTTTATGAGGTCTTAAAATGTATGGAAAGGGTCTTTTAAAAAGGTCTTAAAAGGTATTACATTTGACTTCAGGATTCCTGCATATACCCTGTCACAGGCTTTTTTTTGTTTGGTGTGACACTGAAAGCACAGCCAAAGCTGAATGTCACAGAAAGGAGGATACAAGGGAGGGGATGTCAACTCTGACTATAATGAGACTCTGAACCACTGTTTTTAATGCAAATAAGGCCTAGGTGTGTCAATATACATGTGCACAGCTACTTTCAACGCTTGTATCCTTTTTTTTTCATTGAGCACTTCTTTATTACCGGTATGTGACAACAGTGATGGAGGTCATCTCAGTTTGAATCTACATATGGACTGATCAGATATCCATGCAAAGAAGGATGCTCTTATCTCAAAGCATATTGTGAAATGAGGAATAGAGTTTTTGAACAACAAGGGGAATTTGCCTGAGATTTGCCTAGCTGACGCCAAACAACGGTCAACTCTATGGGGACATTTTATATATTAGCCAGGCGGGCCCACAAGCATGTTGGCTGTTAAACAAATTTTATTTATACTGTATTACACCTTGTTAAAATATTAACAGTAATTGCTTTAGATGTTGGCATACTTGCTGTTTATTTCTTGTTCCTGTTCATTCATGAATACATAAAATAACCGATTTACTGCCCTTCGGTTGCCAGTTGGTACTATGGAAAGCCCAAACTACCCGTTTACCTGAAATGACAGTTACAGAGAGAGAGTTGTGAATTTAATAAGACAAAGGCAGTTTGAGATTAAACTGCAACTATAGTTTACCTGCATCAAAAGTAACTGATGTTCGTAATATGTCAAATACATTTGATTCTGACAATACTTAATTTTACCTCCAGATGGCAACAATTGTCCTTTTTTCCTTTTTTTGTAATAACTTCAGGAACCAAAGCAAAAAACTGTCCTTTGTTTTAAAAATATTAATACATGTATTTAATCGATGCTGCAAAGAGATTAATGTGTTCCAATCTGTTGATCAGTATGTATCCTTTCATTAGTTGAGTCTTTATAATCTTAAGCTTATTGACCACCATTGCCATGCCAAGACCACACACAAGCACACAGAAACTACAAATGCATCAGTTCTGCCTCGACACAAAACCAAAAGCAGACATTGAATGAATAGCAGCGCAATCTCAAGCAGAGTCTGACAACAACAGACATATCAACTATCTCCTAATTGATACAGCTAGGCGGTCAGTCCGTCACTTAATGAATTGCTAATAGCCCTCAGCAATGCTGTGAGTGACAGGGGCCGAGCATTCCACCTGGTGGAGCCTGCCTGGGGACCGCAGTGGATGGGGATGCTTCTCATTAATGGGGGCGGGCAATTGTTCAGTCTTGTGTGGAGAGGCCTCTTGCACATGGAGGCCACGCTTCTCCCTCAGATAGCCCCCATAGCCTCAGACAGCCGAGTATCACAGAGTCACCGATAATGAAGACGTGATCAAAGAGATGAAGCATTCCAGCGGGCCTGGCCGAGCAACCGAACAGGACGAGGCAGAAAGGCAGAGAGAGAGACTGACAGCAAGACAAGGAGAGAAAGGAATAGATGGGATGAGGGGGCGATATGGAGAAAGGGGTGATAGTCCACTCTGCATAGCAATGCTGCAATTAGAGAGTTTGTGAAGCATAGTTCGGCTGCAAAAGAAACTCATTGATCTGCAAGCATGGCCATCAACACTGAGAAAGTGCTCGACAAAATGGGCTGGTGTGCGATGGTCAATTAAACTATTTTAATGGTTAAAAACTGGGCCAACGTGAATAAAGAAATTGATGTTACCTTTATCATATATGTATTTATATAATATATACAATATTTCTATATATTTTTGTTATACTGTATCTGCAGCAGTCAAATGTGACTAAGAGTATCTCCATAGTTTGGTTCCAGCTAACGCAACCTGTACAAAAATGTTGTTCATGTTAAAAACAGCAAAAAACTTGATCTGTTTAAATAAAGTGACACTTTTGAAAACACCTAAGAATAAAAGTCATAGAACGAATTATGGTTAGAAGTAGAGGTACATATGCTACTCATTCATTCGCTGCACTTGCCACAAGCAGCAGCGTTATTTATCTTAATGCATATAACTGCGAGCCCTTCAACTGACCCATAATTTGCTACTAATAACTGCTGTGGGTGGAGTGATTATAGCTTTTCATTAGTGCCAGCAGCTTTTACTAGTGCTACCCCAGCTAAAGGGCCCTTGCTGTAATTGTTAGCCATTATAAATATAGTACGTGGAAAGTATAGGGGGGCCGATGACGCCTCTTTGTTAACTGCCGGTGATTGAGCAATTAAACTTTGGCAACTTAATTACCTCTTCACAACAACATGGCTATGAGGCATTAAGACTGGCGTTATGGTAAACATTGCTGTCAGAGCGACGGCCTTGAACTGGGTGATGCATGAGTCTGAGTTTATCACCAGCTGCTACCAGAAATAAACAAAGCACATAATGTCAGGTGTAAATTAACAACGTTTTTTTTGTAAAATCGTTCATTTAATTATGTAAAAAAAAATAAAAATGTTAATAATTACTTTTAGAATACTAAGTGTATATGATAGTAATCTATGTAGAATGGGAGTAGTGGTATTTCTTTTTGTATTACTACTGTTATTATAATATTGATATGACTGACCACCAGGCTCTTAGTTAATTGTGTACTTAATGTAACTTATTGTAGAATCCATAGAGGAAAATCGGACCCCACAAGCACTGCCTCTGCTAGCTCTCAGTACAGAAAGGCTAACAGATGTTGCAGAGAGCAAAACAAAAACCACCAGAATAAAAACCAACATTCATTCGTCAGGCCAAGTAGGAATCACACTATGCAAGCTCCTCATTAAGTGGCATTAAAACTGTGAAGGTCTATAATTATCGAATAAATCCTTTCCCACATGAATGAATTCATCTGCGTGCCATAATTCTTCCCCACACAGAGCAGCTCTGGCGGTGAATGAGTCTTTTGTGCACCACTGTGGGAAGGCTTTTGTGAAATTACACCTCTGCATAATGATGCTAATCATAAATTAGCATTTCAAGATGGAGCAGCATGTTTGTGTGTGTGTTTGCTTGTGAGTGTGTGCATGTATAGAAATTGACAAAGTAAATATAAGCAATCTAATTTTAATAGTTTATCACCAGTTCACTACATTTCAGAGTATTTGAAGACATATTCAAATGTCCTTTTTTCCCCTTTTTTTTGCAGTTGTATACCAAAATCAATGACTATAATTTGTTGTGAAATTTAAAGAATGTATCTGATGTGAAACCTTAAATATGACTCATGGTTTGTTTCAATGTTATTTTCCCTCAGGCAGCTGCAGGCCACCGAGGATACACTGCAGATTGTGAGAGAAGTTGAACCCAAGACTGACCTCTCTGCTTGAAAGTAAGTTTCATCCCTTCAAATCTTTTCCATTCCTGTTTGCTTTTTCATTCTCCTCTATAACTATAAATCTCTCATTTCCGCCTTTTTATTTTCTTAAAACTGCTGCAAAAATTGAGAAATAAGCCAGTGCACACTGCAACACAGGCGAACATAAAATCAACACAAAACACAGGCATTGTGAACGCTAATAGAAGCCACATGACGGTGATATTAGATTCAAGTTTCTATTCATTGACTGAGAGTAGCAGGTGTGTGTTTCATTACCCACCAAAGAAAACACGACTCCACTGTGGGCTTCTTAATGTAGGGGCTTGACCAACTAATGAAAGCAGACAAAGAGAGCGATCTAGAGGCAGCGCCCACTCTGCGCCTCACACACACTTAGCACCAAGCTGGAACCTTTGCCAATTAGGACCTGTTTGTTTGATGTGACAATTAACAAGGAGGCGCTCGTTCATTAATCCCAATATGGCTTCGCTCTGCTCATTACTACGATGTCCACCTTTGTTACAGACATCCGTATTTTTAAGGAAAGGGACACGTGTGGATGCTATTTATCATTAGTTTGCCTTCTGGTAGATGTTGTGGTTGTGTGTTTTATTAATATGAAATAGTTTACTTCCTCTAAATAAGTGAATAATTGAATATAAGTCCTGAAATATATGTAAATAGGCCTGTTGGAGTCGTTAAGAGGGACACTTGTAAGTCGCAAATAATGGTTCAAACATACGATTCTTGATATTTACTCGCTGACTCAAACATTGTTTCCAATCACTAGAACAACTACAGTCAATATGTGTCGTGGTTATAAATAAATGATTTGCATGAAGTAGAATAATGTGACCTCAGAACAAGGTACACATGTAAATGATAACTCATGCAGCGTGACACACAACAAAAGGTTACTGAAAGTTTTCCAGTCTCCACATTTCAAATTAAAATAACATTTACCTAACCTTATTCCCGGGAAGGGGATGATTCAAAAACACATTGTTGTACATTTACAGTTAGTCATTGGCTGGCCTTTGTTGTTCTCCAGTGCCATTTATTCCATGCCATTGTGACCACAGTGTTTTGCATCTTTCTCTCTCCTTCTTTGCCAAACAAATGGAGCTCGTACTGTATATGCAAAGAATATGGCTTTTCAAAGATAGAACCTCATGCAAACAAAGACATCCAACATACTGTATTCCTGAACATCACGACCGCTTCCACATTGTTTCCTAATCTAACTGTTAAACATTATTTCACTAAATGCCCAATTCCAAATTAAAGCCCTTTCTCCACTTTTGAATTTCAGGTGGGGAGACGAAGAAATAGCAGCTCATTTTGGAGCGTTTATTTTCTTAAATATATAAAACCCACTCCATCATCTATAGCAAAGGCACAGCACAAAGAGGGAAACGTCACATCAAAGCAACAAGCTCCAAAACAACATTTTACTACAGTGAAAAAGTGAGAGCTGAAGTTGTCGCAGGTATCTTTATCTATATTTAATATATTGTGTTTAAATGTAAAACAAATGTCAGTGAAAGGAAGCTGTGGCTGTGAGTGTGCACTAGGTGGTGCCCCATCTCTTCACCAAGACAAAACCACATGGTGGTACTTCTCAGCTAAACCCCACACTAAACCTGTAATGACCACACTGTGCATGCAAGCAGAGTGATGAAGCGTTAGAGTAAGTGACAGAATATCAAGTTACCAGCACTGATATATGTTGTTTTTCAATCAACTTTTTCTTTTATATTTTTCGGACAAAGGAAATATGTACAAAAGGTTGCTTGTAGTAGTATAGGAAACAACTGATAAATGTGACAGATTCACACATATAGGCACAGTTAAACCACGCACACACTTCCACACACACTTATATAATAATGCACTCACACACATAAGTGCATACAGCTCTGTACACTCTATACACTCGCTCTGTCTCTCCCCACACCCTCTCTCTCATAACTCATAATAATGTGATCTGAAGAGAGAAAACTAGTGCTGCTTGATTAAAAGGGATTCAGGTGATGAAGGCTCCAGTCTTGTTGCTGAGGGCCTATAGTTTCAGCCCGGCCCAAGGCAGCAGCTGGGAGCGTAATTACACGGGCTGATTTATACATCATTAAGGCCTCCATATAAGTCACCCCCTTTTGAAAAGAGCAGTTAAGCTACTTATACTTTTCACAAAACAGCAGCAATTCTGTATAAAATGAATGTATGCCGTTCCTCTGAAAGCATATGGTATATTTCTCACCTATTAATAATTCAAGTTGAATGAGCAAAAATTAGTTGGCTCGGTTACCGCCGCGTTTGTCCCACATTAATTTCACCGACATTTTGTAAATGGGGCTATTACGCTAAAAACAAAGCAGAGTGAATGACCACGCTTTGCCGTACTTAGGAAAAGAGAGGGCCTCATTCGTACACCTGTCATTTTCAAACAAGGCACCATTATGGTTTGCAGAGAGGGGATATCACACCTTTCATTTAGCTGTGTCCCTTCCATGGAAAAGCAGTAGCCTTGAAATTGTTACCTGCGAGAGAAAGCCATTTTTAATCTGAAAATCCAGACATTTGCTTTTCACTTCAGTCTGTCAAATGGCCGCATTTTATTCACCATTTCAAAATGAAAAAAGCGTAAAATTAGCATTTCTACTGAGGCAATTACAAAGCCTGCGTGTGTGCTTTACCCTTCACCTTTTTTAATTCTACACAATGCATGTATTGAGTTACTCCTAAACTCTAAAAGTCATAACTAAGGTTTGATTGAAATCAAATGAGGTCCTCATTATTTGGGTAGCTGCAGAAAACACAAGTGAACAGGTGTTCTTTGAGATGCATCAGAGCATATACATTTTAACAACCCTTGACACCTCATATTCACACTGAGTCTGAACACACACACACACACACACACACACACACACACACACACACACACACACACATTCAGCAACACAGAAGACTCAGCTCAATGGGGCTGAGCACATTGTTGCTTTAACCTTCTGCGCCAGTTATCCCTCTCAGAGCTCCAAGCCTTGGCAGCTAACTCTATTGGCTTTTTGTCATAGAGCCTTGGCTTGTACAGTGGCTTTGGGTTGATAGCAGAGGGGGAGAACAAAACGGCAAGAAAAAAAAAAGTCTTTCTTTCACATTATTTCTGAAGTGAGTGAGTGTGAGCAGGGGCTGGAGGAGGCCTAGTCAGGGCTTGTAGGGGCCCCGTCGTCTTGGGGTCATTATGCTCGGCAGATCATTAGGCTCTGAAGAGGAGGCACACGACACGGCACCCACAATCTCTCAGCTGTGCTGCCAACCCCCCCCCCGTCACCCGACCCCTTAAGCTACTCACCAAGACTGAGCGGTGAGTAAATGACCTGACCCCTGCCAGCCCCTCTGCTAAATACTTGTATGGCTGCTTGACGCTGAGATGAATGAACGCAGGCAGCAGGCTTCCTTGCTAATCCCCAGTGTAGCACGTAGGCTGCAAAACGGGCAAATAACTACTGTAGGTGTTCACATTTCCTTTTGTCCCCTTTTATGTTTATTTGGTGACCTCCTGCACCTTGGGATTGGAGAGAGTTTTGTGGTGAGGTTGAATGTTCCCTAGCCAGGTCAAGTGAGCTAGCATAGAAATAGCTACATTCAGGAATCTGTAATTCAACACTCACATGTGCAGATTGAATGTGTTTGTCATTATGATGTTTTACATGATGAATTCTGTCCTTAATGGAACCATTAGCGTGCAGGAAGAAACCAGTCATACAGAGGTCATATCTCAAATGGTGCACTGCCATAAATTTAAGGGCATTGACAAGTGAGAAGTGTTGGATTCGTATTGGTTGATACATTTACAAACTCGGCCCTCTCTCCGCCGCTCACCTCCCGACTCCCTCGCTATCTCTTCCTGCTTCGCTTGAATGTCACCACTCTGCGGGAGGATTTAACGTTGCTTTTAACCCTCACCGCCTCATAATTACCTTGACATTTACCCTGCATTCAATCAAGTTTTAACAGCAGATTTATTGCAATGACTTTTTTGTATTGCAGAAGGCAGCAGTAATTATGCAGGTTATTAAGAGTCTTCGTGTTAATGCAGTTTTACATCGATAACATTCGGCATAGACTGTTTTCCTGTGTGGAAGAGCGCAATGTCAGCTGCCTTTTTAAGACGGAGTGACACAGGAAAGGACAGAAATACTATTAGATGAAGTATCAGATGACTTGGGGTATGAAGAGTGGAATAGGGTAGCACTGCTTCTCCCTCCTTTATTGCTCAGGTTATTATCACAACTGCTGGGGAATTGTCGAGACGGGGAGATAGGAGTGGCAACGATCCATCCGGGACTCGTTCATCACCATGCGCCGCAGCCCCCCGAATAGAAATTACATCTGCATCTGAATTAGTAACATTATTCGCCAATTTGGCTCAGAGTGAACATTGTTCCATTGAAGGTGGAATTAAATTAGAAAATGAGTGAGTCTTTAATTTTCAGATTATAAATCAGGGAATATAATTCACCTCCTTGTACCTTAAGGGCAATCACATTATCCTAAGCGACATTTTATCCTCAGCCCCGCCAAGTGATCTCGTCACGACACGCAGTCACACACCAATCATGCTTCCTGGGGAAGCAGGAAATACATCTCCTCCAGAATTAGATATTAAATATGAGTGTCTTCTCCTGTGTAAGAGCTTATTTTACATGAAATGTGACGGTCCTTTTGACTCATAAACACTGTAGAGCACTACAAGGCTCAAGTGATACAGCTTTACTTTTCAGCACTGTACATGAAGTACATCATTTTATTAGTTGAAAATCAGCTGAACATGTATAATATATCATATAAGCACAGATTATATTTAACACATAGAGAAAGGCATAGTAACATGCAAGGCTTTTCTTGACTATAAAAAAACACTATTTTGCCTTTTTTTGAAGTATTTCATCTTTTTTATCATCGCTCAAGCCTTTCAACGTTCCTGCATGGAAAAAAAATCTTCTTTAA